TCACCATATACTCGAGCGAGATGGTTCTGTTTTTCGGCTATCAAAGTCATCGTTCAAGTTCTCCATATTAATCACGTCTCGGATAAAAATATGAAAAGTTCATCGAGATGGAATATTCCAACGGTGACGGTACCACCACCCCGCGACAAATCGGTCACCATGGTCCTGCGTAACAAAAATTTATTTGACAAGTATTAGCGATGCACTGTGGGATCGTGCGGATAAAATTCTAAATATAGAATGTCGAGTATATATCCGAAAGTGGAACGTAACTTATGACGAGAATTTACATGAAAAATCTGGCTGCTTAACCTATCGTCTGACATGGCCATGAATCTTTCGGCAGCAGCCTATTTACACGGTACAGACAGAATTCTTTCAGGCAAAAGATTTCTACGGCCATCCATCATACGTTCGCGTTTACTTTAAATATCTTTAATGTATTTTACGGTTTTCCAAATATATCAATTTTACCATGCTTATTTGCACGTATTTCCACGATCGTCATAAATAACACCTTTCTCTTCCGAGAAATAAATAGTCGAATAGAATCTGAAGTTTACTCATAGAAAACATACTATTAAAGGATCACAGTCGACCGCGACTAACACTATGTCGATGGTTACACGTTGTCGATTACATTTTCATTTTTCATACACTCATATCGAGCAAATTGTGTTGGGAATAATTTTCCGAAATGATTACCCACTGAAATTAAACTACGACTTCGAGGTTGTATCAAACTATGTATAAAGTTATATAAACGTACTAACGTTTCCGATATATTTTCACGATGCATGTCAATATTTTGAATGCATGAAATTTTGTTGAAATTCATCAAAAACGAACGCATTGAAATAATTTCTTTTCATAACTCGCAGTTCTCTCTTCCTCTCTCTTTCTCGCTCTGAGGAAGGTGTACCACTGGATAATAATTTTTATATAGATACACGCCACAAAATATAACATAGAAATATAATATAACATAAATACATGAAGGACAAATTATTACTAACGCACTAACCGCGCGCAAACATACTCTGCCGACGCTATTACTTACTTTAAAATACGTCAGCGCACATGGAGAGCTTACGAGACGGTTCCCTCATTTGGGCTGGCCTCCACGGAGAGCAGATTATAAAGGATTATTTTCCAACGTTAAATGAATTCACCGGCGCTGAGTGCCACGGTAAAATCTGCTAATGGATGCTGCAAACCACCGTGTACGCGATAGATGTAAAATGTATTATCTGTCAATCACGAAAGAATTGCAAATGCTCCTCCTGCCGTCCGATGCAGCGTCCCACGATAATTTAATTAAGTTGCACCATCTGTGCTCTATTAAATTGTATTCGTGTCTTTGTATACGCAAAAATGCGACTGTAACGCTGATAATACCGAATGACACGTGCCATTTTGCGCATTCTGTTTTCAAGTCCTAGCGATCCGTGCGAATGAACATGTTATTCCACAATTAACAAACTAATCATTAGACCTGAATCGGATATATCGTGAGAAGTCTGCCGCTCGTTCGTTTAACGTATCGGAGAGATTGTAGAATATTTCCAAATCCAAGCGACATTGCAAATACTTAAAGATCAAAAAAAAATACAAGACGCGTATGAAATAATTTAATAATAATTTCAAAAGCCTCGCGCGTATAATAAAATGCTCACCTGTCTATTCAACATTTCTCATTCAGATATCGACGCGAAACGCGCGCTTCCTGGCCCCCTCGTTCGACTCAGCCTCGTCCTCCTCGTTCCCATCCGAGTGCTGCCGCATTTTCAGATTTTCCATCTGCCGTCACGCGCATTACGCGGCTCCTGCGAAAAATACCTCGCCGCAAGTCGCGACGGTTTATGCGGGATTAGCGCGTGCGGCATGGAGTTCCTCCTGTTCTGCGGAATAATTCGGAAAAAGTCCCGCTGACGAGCCCGCGCGGGATTTATTCCGGCGACAGTCGCGGACCGCAAGAGGGAATGCGTTATCAGCGTAGGATGGCGCCGGGAAGAGCGAGCGACGCGGCGGGAAGAAAAAAGTTGACCCGATGCAGTCGGACTCGCGGCGTAAAATACTAACGAGCGCGGCGGAGTCCCGTTCGCGCTCGCGCTCGCGTTCGCGTTCAAGTTCGCGTGCACATGCACCACACACGCACACGCTGCAGGCGAATGTACCTGGTTCACTAACTGAGCAGAGTTGCACGGAGAATCCGGGTTAACTAACATCGGATTAGCGACTCGCTACCTCTTTCTGGATTACAATATTACGTATAAGATAGGCAGCGAAGGAAAAGTAGGTAAACCGGAAATCACGCGAAACGACGTCGATACACCGAAGCCTCGAATGTAATCCGGCTCGAGAATAAACCAGCCGAGGCGAGAAAAACAGGAATTGCGTAATGTTCCCGTAATGTATGAAACGCGGCGGTCACAAATCGCGCTAGGTGTTTCAAATATTAAATAATCGAGCATTTATCACGCTCAGCACAACTAATAATGATTTCTTTGTAATTAATGAACATTGATCAATCGCGGTCTATCGTCGTTCGTCAGAGATATTTCACTCCCACAGCTGATAAAGTATATATCTCCGTCTTTATCCTGCGCGGCTTAGAAGATCTAAATAAAAATGCGTTCTTACAATGCATTCACTTTGGTCGATTTATCCGGCGTGATCGTCAAGAGCGAACCGTGTAAATTCGCCTCAAGGCATCGCGGGAATAATTAACGGCCGCTTCGGCCACCAAAGGGAATCGGCGAGCGCACGGGGCTACAGTATTCGAGCCTGCGCAAGAAACGCGCAGTGCGCCGCCGCCGCCGCCGCCGCCGCCGCCGCCGCCGACCCGTCGACGAACAATTGAATTATCAGGCGGTTGCGAGCGCAACGAGGGCCATTTTTCCGCTTCGTTTTTCCGAGGCCCGAGGGCTCGCGAAAGTTTCAGTACACGAGTACAACCCTTCTTCCGCTCTACGTCCCCGCCCCTGTTGCCGGTCGATCCGACCGCGCTGAGCGCGGCAATGCGAATCACGGTTGCACCGAAAAGCCGGAAAACACGGCTTCATTAATCTAACAAGATTGATACGCGGAACATATCTCCCGGCCGGCGTGGCATAATGGCCGCCAGGGCTGGCTGATAGCGTGTGCAACAGCAGCATATCCCAATTTTTGAACGGGACGCGTATAGTATGATTATGCGTGGTGCACATTTCAAGGCTCGTAGAATTTATTCGAGTGACACGACAGAGAGAGAGAGAGAGAGAGAGAGAGAGAGAGAGAGAGAGAGAGAGAGAGAGAGAGAGATACACGGAACGATCCTCGGGTCTAACGTTCCTACCCGGAGTCGCGACTATCGCAAATGATAAACCGGGAATTATTCGAGCGTCCGAATGTCTTCTGTAACACATCCCTCCAAATAAACAATATCGCCGATCATGGAAACCTAAATCTAGGAGATATGTTACTCAACCAAAATCGAAATAGATGCGTGATTACACAGCTTGCACGATGCGGAAGAGGTATTATTTATCACCTATTATTATCATCACAATTCACAGTTTTGCGTTTTTCAGATTGCGCGGTATATAAAGCCGGGCCCTAATGAGCATGTTACTTCGAGAACTCAAAAACCTCTCAGTCGGCCCACGAATGTAGTTCTATGTGTAAAATGATAATGGCCGGAAAACTTTCAGCCACGCTAATGCGATAATGAATTAAATTACGAGGATGGGTTGAGGCACCATGTCTACCGTGCTAGGTAATTACTTGCTTTTTCTACCATATTGTATTTCACGTTGCGCATACCGTTGTATGGCGAGATTTTATGTGTACGACGTATGAAAATCCGACGTTCACTGGCGCACGCTCCCGCTCGCCTGCTCGTTCGCCCCGGAATCTCTCTCTCTCTCTCTCTCTCTCTCTCTCTCTCTCTCTCTCTTCCTCGCTCCCGCTCAGCTGCACATCGGACATCAGCGTGTATTTGTATCCAAGCAGCGCAACGCGACGCGTCAATGCTCTCTGGTAAATGTAAGCTGGTGCTTGTGATCGGCCTTCAATTACATTATTCTCGTGTAATTAGCATCCCTTGTGATGGGATAACGTCAATATTACGGGTCGGTACCTCCGTCAATATTAAACAAGTTGCCCGCCATTGATGTTGCCCGGAATTAATTAAAAATACGCGAAAAGAATCTTTCGTTTTTAATTAAAACTTGCTACATTGCCGGTTGTAATAACACGCGTACACCGACTATGCGTTTGACCGACTATGCAGCTCTGATATCGCATTATTTCAACTAACATTAATAGCACAAACTATGGCGCTTTATGTCTGTGTTACTTTGCGACATAATGCCGATATGTGCCGATAATGCCGAAGTAGGACAGGACGTACGAATCATCTTAACCTATATTTGCTTCACTGCGGAATAGCAAAGTCGTGATTAGAGAGGCAGAGTCCGAAACGAGCGGTCGGTCGCAATTGTTGAAATCAATAATTGATTTGCTCACTGACTGAGTTTAGCGGTTATACCGCCATTTTGTTGTCGTTTGTTGAGTTATTCGTTTATCGTTGGAATAAATTTCATATTTCTCACGACTTATCGAATGCATAGACATTCATTTATCGCCAGCTCATAATAAGATACAAGTCAAACGAATAACCCCCGATTTAGTATGGCTAAACGGGATTTTATTTACTAAAAATAGTGAAAAACGACAATCATATCATTCGCTCACCTTCCGTGCTCCGCAGCTCGCAAAAGAAAGAGAAAGTGCACGATGCGATCGATATGGCGTCGTTTCAGATTAGCCTTGTGTGATTGGTCAAGTCGATATTGATTGTGATTGGTCCCGTAGTCGATCGTGATTGGTCGTTACGCGACGTTACACATTAATGGACTTCTTTCGCTGCACTTTCTATACACTTTTCACTCCCTGCTCTTTACTGCAGTGACTCTACATCTTTCCCTTCTTCCTTGACGATGCTCATCTTGTTCATTTGGAATGCAGCTGTTACTTGAGAATGGAGGGAGAAAGAGATAAAGAATTAGGTAAGCTCTGATCTCAGTACGACGTTTTGCGAACATGCGATATCGTAATTGATGGAGTGAGAAACGGACTGACAAACGACCGGAGGTCGAAAGTAACAAAAACTGAGTCATTCATGTACCGATTTGCCCTTAGCATCGTTCGTCCTTCCCCCCTTCCCACTTCCCACGAGTCTGGTATTGCAATTCTCGCGTATCGTACTTAGGCATTTCACGATCTTACAGGACATTCGCCCATTCTCGTTCGTTGCACGGCACAAGTTGACCGGAGAAATGCGGCGGAGCATGATACACGACGATCGTTCGACATTTCGTCGACGGTCTCGTCAGTGAGACGCCGTGCGATGTTACGACGCAGCGGCTTGCAATCATGGCCGCCCGATTCAAATTTTTCGTGCGTTTGGCATTACGTAGATGGTAAGTCGTTGAAACATATGACTCACGAAATCATATTTTGCGGCTACGTGAGTAATTTTATCGCTCGTCATTTTTCTGAGTGTCCGGTTTGAATGTAACAGATATATGATGACAGCAAAGAGGACAAATCTACGATTTTAACAGATACAACATTCCGAAGAATCGAAATTGAGAGAGCGAGGACCTGTAGGACCGAACAAGCAGACGATCAGACGACGCTAATATGCGACGGTAATAAAAATTGCTCATAAAAAATTGAATGTTTATTAAAGGATCATAGAGACTGTGCATACCTTCTATGTTGCATTATATTATATTATCGAAAAATGCTCTTTTTGACGAAAAGAATGCTCTTGACGAAAGTCGTATTAAAACAACTAACTTACGCGAGTCCGCATGGTAGGCAGAACTTTTAAACTTTTTCAAGCGGGGATGAAATGAGAAATCGAAAGAAATAAGCTGGGAACACGATTCGCTCGATTCTCGTTGTTCGGCTCGCGACTCGACTTTTTTGGATTGAAACAATAGATTTTGAGTAGCGCTATTTCCGCTATATTCCACGACGAATCCTATCTCGTATCGAATCCGAAAGGGTTTACCTCTCCTAGTATATCGGAAGGGTTTACCCTCGGTTCGTGGCGCACCGAAATTGACTCGTTCCAAAGGATTAAACGTGCACCCCGTTATGCCTAGAAACCGTACGTATTCCATCCAGAGAAATTCGCGGCTTCTCTCGTCGTCGAACGGATTCGTTGGCCCCGAAGTAAGCGGCCAACAACCAACATATATGTATATATATATATATATATATATGTGGATACTTATACACAGTGTGTCTTTCAGTCGCATTTCCCAGAAAGTCTCGTGTGAAAGTTCTTTTGCTTCAAATATACGAACAATAACATACGCGAGACAGATATTAAAATACAATATTGAGAGGCTTTCGATGCGGCGAGTCACCGATGTTGCAATATAGTTGCGAACATGAACCGTAAATGTGATTCACAGGTACATATATCTAATATATTGCTGGCACAAATCCATGCGCGTTTAATATCACAAGCTGTTAACTAAATGTAACTATTAACCATTTCCGCGATCAAGCAACGATCGTGTTGTTCGGCCGGTCGTTTAGTACATGAGATCTCGTTTCTGCTTTCCATCTCGCTCATTCATCAACCACGAAAAGAGCTTTGCGTGCGCTGTTTCGGTCGCGTGCCGTTCCGGGAATCGCGGTCTCGTCGTACAGACGGTAAAAGACTTTCGCGGTAAAATATACAGAATTGTTTATGAGTAGAGGCTTTTTATTGCGCCGTTCAGGGACCATTATGAGGGAAATGTCCCTCTTGCGATGATACTGCGACGTTACTTTAATGAAGACTTTCTTGCTCTTAGGATTTAGTCTCCTAATCCGTAAATTTAACACGTTTGACCGAAATGTTTGGCCGAAATAAATGCAAGAATCGTATTTGCGTACGTTATTATTGTCTCATTCGTTGGAAGTGATCTTCATTATACACGAGTTTTACTTGGTTGCACATCGCATTATAAAGTTATAAATGGTGCGCATAAATAATTCTATTATGTTATTACCATTACCATTATAATTCTTATTATTATTATTACCATTGTTAGTATTATTATTGTGCGTCGATGTTATATGTATCATGTAGTATCGTGAGTTACACGAGTCATTAATAATTTATATCAATTCAACCGTGTGCAAACGCTGCGTCGTTTTAAAATTAAAATTTAATCATAATTCAGTTTAGAAATGTTTAATACGTTTGTAATACACAGTCACACTGACATAATGAATAATTTACACGCACCACAATTTCTGCATGCGTGGTGATCATTGATTGACAAAAATTCGGTATAAATAAATCTCAGATCAAGATACCAGTCACGCATATACGTAGCTTTGTCGAGCGACTGAGCGAAGCAAACGAGCGTTTGAGATGACAAATTTTCGAGATCGCCCTCGTTACGGCTAACGACTTTTTGCGCAAAGATACGCTCAGGCACAATGAAACGACGAGGTTACAGCCGAAGGAAACAAGCAGAAACTACAAAAACGAAGGAAAGAGAGAAAGAGAACGTGAAAGTGGGAGTAGGAGAGGAGCAGGCGACCATTAAAATCTGTTTGCTTAGGACGACGGAACAGCTGGAGACAAGCTTTCGATTTATTCTGACATCTTGCCAAATCTGCTAGGATATTACAAACGCTCGGATTATTCCCCACGGCCATCCGATGATCCTCTTACAGTTTCGACTTCATTAGGCTGCGATCACGCGCGGTGGTAGGCACCGATTAAATATAGACGCGACGCGGGGGCGTGCGCACGTTGTAAGCCGCTTACGGTCGCGGCTACACGTGCATTTTAATGTAACACCATCGTCGGTCGGCGTGTCATTAACGATTGTAAAGTAATCGGTTCGCGCGCGCGCGAGCGAGTTCGCAATCGCCGTGGCGCAACGAACGTGTTTCGTTGTGTGAAAGAGCGCATCGACCGATGTTGATGATGCGGGCACACAGATACAAACACATACACACACATACACACGTCTATCGTGGCGACGCGAATTACGGATATACAAAATATTCCATAAACGTAATTCTAAATTAATTGCGCTGGCAGGTTTAAACCTGCCAAACACATCATTTTTCATTGATTCGATTCGTTGAAAGCCAGACTCATGAAAAACGTTTGGATAAACATCATGTGCATATTATTTTGTGGTTTTTATGCGGAAGTATAAAGAATTTTCTCTTGCGTTTATGTGCGGTTAAACAAGAAAATTCGCAATTTTATATCGATTTGTTATTATATTTTTTTAGTTTCGGGAAAATCACATAATTTGAAAATTCCCGATTTTATTTTAAAATCGTATTTCTGTTTTCCGTTATTTTATTATTCGCGTAACACACACATCTGCGGTTTCTTTTATTTAGATGACACACATTGTTGTTTTCGGTATTGTTTCCTTTAATAGAGATAATTACGATTTTCAACTAACTGCATATCTGCATAACTGTTGGCACGGGAACTTTTAATGAAAGTTTTTAGAAATTTGCAATTGAATAAATTTATAGTCGAGGTTTGCACAAAGAAATTTTACCTTGTGGAAACCATCGCACGACAAAGGTTTTGCAAATACACCTGAACTTTCTGTATGAATATCCTCACGTATATCCTCACGTTCTGTAATCATCGGCACTTTTTTCGCTTGGATACATTATGTACCTATCTGTTTAAGCGAGAAACTTCTTTACCACATATTGCACTACGTGCTGCCAGCTTGCGTTCGGGAATTCCAGTCACCGATAGTCTTAAACGCATATACCGCTGTTTACACGGAAAACGTATAAAATGATAGAACGCGAATATACACTCCCAAGTGTAAGTTATGCAATATAACACACAATGCATATGTAAAGGTGAATACGGTTGCTCAATGTTTATCGAAAAGGCAATCGCATATCTTCGAAGAAATGTCATTCCTGATTTTCATGACAACCGTATTTGCAGACTTAAAGCATAACATCTTCGATTATTTCGAGGCGCAATAACGAGCTGCGAATACCTTCCGCGAATCTTGGGAGAAAGCGTCGATGGTAAAACAAAAAAGAAAAAAGTAAGGAGGAGCGGGATAAGAATTTCTCTCGGCGAGAGAAACACGAAGGTGTCGTCTCTAGCGACTGCACCGTAGCGACACTCGAGAGCTTCCTTCGAGACGGGAAGATGTCTCGAGAGTCTTACCAAACTCCGACAAATATTTGTAGAGCTTTTGTGCACACGTGCGCTACGCTTATTATTGTTGCCAGCGCCGGAACGAGAGATCCACACCACACACCTTAAATCTTGATATTAATCCAACTCTTTCACCTCGCGTTATCTCTATATGACGCCTTCGCGTAAAGTTTCTCCCGTCATTTCTCTCGCGCCGACTTCCGCACTTTAAGGGAGAAATTTACACGTTTGTTCGCTGAAGGACTTTGTTCTTACGGCTGATTAAAAATAATTACAGAAAAGGAAACAATTATAAGACGAAGTATCGTCTTATTATTCGTTGGTTGCGTTACTTGCGTCGCAAGAGTCTCGCTATACGACGGAATCCGAATTCTAATTTATGTCAGTCGAAACGAGCGGAGAAAGAGTAAGAGAGAAGTGTACTTGTTCTCGAGGACATTCCGACGAATATTTTAAACAATTTCCTCTGTGTTCCCGCATTTCTGTCCTCGAGTAGATCGTCAAACAGTCGACAAGTAATTGCGCAAGCAGCACCGTCGTCGCTCGGTCGTCCGGTAATAGATAGTAAACCGTCGCTTGCAAGTAGTCTTTCGGCATACTTCGAATTCGTCTACTCAAGAGATCAAATAATAGCCATTTGTATTTTATTCGTGCTTTCACTTTTTGCTTTTTTTCTGTCTCCGCCCGTGCCTTCATTGCGAAACGTTAGCTGGGAAATGTACAGTTCTCCTCTTCTTTCCGGTCTTTTTTACCTTCGTTTATGCCTTCGAAGAATTGACCGATATTATCTTTGTTATTATTTTTGTGCTATATAATTTCGCAATTATTTTATTCGAATGAAAGCTTCAAATTTGTTTTTCCAAGGTATATATCAACAGTGAGGAATGACAGTGCGGGAAAAATTTCGCGATAAAAGTTGTAATCTAGTAAACGAAGCTGGAATTCAATCGGAACACGTTACTCAAACGTAAAACGAGATTCGTCCGGAACGATGTTCTTGAAACGTAGTTCAGTTGCGTATGACAAGCCGACAATTAATATCACGAACGTACACACGAGAAGTTGCTAAATTACCGGGGGAAATTCGTACCTTTGTCACCGAACACCTCGTTCCGTTTAACGTACGCACGTATATGCGCTCGCGAGCCCGAATATCGCGCGGGTGTTGGAAGACTCATCCGCCGAATCGGTGCTGGGGATTGTGAAGTTGTAAATTGGAATGAAATTGCAGTCGCTAATGCGCCGATTTAAATGTAAACGCACGGAAATGGAGACGTTATAGTCGTTCGCAATAGCGAATCGAATGGCGATCCTACCTTTTTATGACTTTCGCGGTCGAAAGAAATATCTCACGTTGATGTTGACATATACTTTTAAACAGTTACGTCGATATCCGGAGAATGATCACATCTTTGGTATAATATATATACTATCTGAGTTGAATACTTCTGGCTAATAAAAACAAGAACTAATAAAATTCTGCGCAAATATTTATTTGACAGATAAAAATTGAGGTAGTTCTTATTAAGTATATGTAATTTATAGATATAACGCGTGCTATTTTTCTGAATAGTAACGGTCAATTAATAAATGGAACATTTAAATTCATTACTTTCAAAATTTAAAAATCTTGGATAATTTTAGACAGTATAGTAGGAACGAAAGAAACGTTTGTACAATTGTGTCAATCGTTCTTTTTTATTAGACGTAACATATTTACAATTAAAAAAAAAAGGAAAAATCTACATATATATTCTCTCTTACTTTGAATTATTTTTAAATCGTTTGTACCGTTAATTTGAGATTGACGATTCCTGGGCGATACAACAACGCGAGGCTATTATGCAAATCAGCAGAAGCTCGCTGTGCTTCTCCGAGCGTGCAATAAGTGCTATTATAATGGGTTTTGCGATAAGCGCTCGATAAAGTAACTGTTTATACCGAACAGTAGCCTTACAACTGATAAGTCGTGCGTGAGTTAATCGACCAACGTTCCCCGACTTCGCATTGACATAATTGATATTTTTGAAATGCGGTCACAATCGCGACGAGAAAAATTTCCACACTCTCTCAGATTGCATTCGGAATAATCGTCTTTGTTTTTCATTCCAATTTACAATAGTGGGCAGCTAACAACTTTTATCAGAACATTTATAGACGAATAGTCACTAGAAAAAAGCAAACGAAAGAAAAAAGAATATTACAACGTTGCTTTTCAAGACAAGAGACTAGTTCGATACAATTTGGCGATGTGATGCTTAAGATTTGTTACGTGTCGCAGTGAAGTGGGAAGCTATAGAAATCAATTCTATAGAAATTCTGAGCAGCTTCGGCGAACTGCTTTGATCGGGTTAGACCCGCTGTGTAACATCTCGACTTCGCGGTAATAACGGGAGTACGATTTAACTTGGTTAAAGTGCAATTACTCAGCGGTTAACCCGAACTACTCCCTCATCCCTGTTTACTGTGTACTCAAGAAATCAGTAGCTGAGTTTAGTCACCGTGCTCAGAAATCGTGCGCGACGGTTTGTACGTGCATTAATTAATTGACTTCCCTGACTACGAAGCGTTTCCACCGAAATTATAAGACGGCAGCAGTGGCGGACTGCGATGGCGAGAAAACACGTTGACGGAAACACGATCAAAATCCTCGCAGTTTAATTTACATTAATTACAAATTTAATGTGTATATTAATTATATACTGTGCCTATATCGCAAAGTGTATAGTAATATAAGACGCACTGTGAATACTAAAATGATCCAACAAATTATTATTACGTAAATATTAATAATTTTAATCGATATTGCTGACATGATTGCAAACTGATTTCCGATGATACGATTTTTGCAAGAGCATTAAGACACTTTACATTTCTGGGACTTTTCAGGGACAGGTCTGATATAGTCTCGACGTTTCTTGTTCGAATAAAAATGGAATCGGGTCAAATGCGAGAAGGTAACCACGTCGCGAAATTAGTACTACGTCGTTGACACTTCAACGCTCGCACAAGTTAGGGCTTCAGGAAGTTAGTACGATGTGCCGGGTGTACGGAATGCGCTCATCTTTATTAATATAAGGGTGAACCAACGAGTAAGAAGTGTGTAGAGGGGATAAGAGGAGGGAAAGAGACAGATAGTTTTAAGTTAGTCTACTGTAGTAGCTTAGCCAATATTTACGTTTCATTTTGTTGAAGCTCCGTGTCCACTGGTCGTTTTCATTCGTGGTTTGATGAAAATGCGCGGCAACGTTACAACGTCACGGTTGACCATACTGCGTATGATTACCTCTGTTTGGCCAGTGTCATTCTCTAAATCTGCCTTCCGCGTTTACCAAATTAAATCTTTCCATGTACTATTTTTGCTATGTATCATTTAAATAGACTCGTTCGAGTCATAGGCGACTGACAATAACAATCGTGATGTTAACATCAATATTTTTCATCGATTTTTTACATTTTCACAAAATGCAAACTTTTATTTTCGTATAAATTTGTTATACTGTCGATTTGTTATTCTGCAACACTGACATCATATCTCGTGTAATAAAATTTTATGAAGCTCGTTCTTCAAGTTTGGTTTGCTGTATACACAACAGACTTCTCAATATTCGAAAGTATACTTTCCGTTGCTTGCGCTTAGCAGCGAGATATTGTTCGCTGGACGATATCAGCTCGCGCATCGTAGTTCAAGATGCGCTCAAGTTCTTTTCCCAATTAGTGCGTTTATATTAAATTACCTGATGGGCGTGGAGATAATAGTCCGTACTGTAATGAGATTGTCCTGTCGAACGCTCGCCAGTTATATCTCGCGGCAGATAAGACTACAATCCCTAACAATAAGACGGTTTGATGAGTTAGAACTCGTAGAGAAGATGCTGCATATTCGAACGATCTCATTGCGGAATAATGGAGAGCAACGACCGACGAGTTGGAGTCGAAATTATTGGGAATTTGAGAAGATAGATCGAACGAGATATATCGCGTTAAATTTATACTCTACGAAAGAATGAATGAAAAATGAGGGCAATTTAATTATAACAAGTAGGTTATACAGAGCATATACTTTATTATTTTGGTAAATAAGTTTCATTCGGATTGTATAAAATAATTTCGTAATTTTTATATTATTTTATAATTCTGATTATTTTCGTTTATTTTTACTATTGGAAATTTTTAAAAAATTGATGAATTATAAAAGCTGGAAAAGTTAAAACAGCTTTATATTTATAGATATTTGTTTCATCTATTGAAATTCAAAATTTTCATTCAATAAGATATCAAGATTATGTAAATATTTGAAGAATGCTATGCTAAGTTGAAAGTGGAACTTCAAAATAATATTATTAAACATTTAAATTATAATATTTGCGAAAATTACACTCGAACCAAAAAATTCTTTTCTCGCTCTTTACTAACTTGGAATATTATATTTTTGTTCCAGCTCTAATATATCTTGCGACCACATCACGAAAGTCGCTGTAGTTCCAGTGGACGCAGATGCTGTACCGGAGGATCCGGTTCAGGCTTATGAGACTCGGCCTAAAGGTAGAGTTATAAATTTTCTGTGTATATATTTAACCCTTTACGATTTGATACTAAAATATAGTTAGATGACTTGGTTCAAAGAGTTAATCTACTTTTACCGATATTTCTTCGTTAAATCGAATTCGTATATTTAACTGCAAATCGTTTCAGTAAGTGGAAAATAAAAGATTATAGATGTTGGCTTTATAAATTGTAGGATATGGCAGGATATCGTTGAAATCAATGCGAATTGCTTGTAGATTTTTGCATGTGAATCTTTGCATGTTTTCGCATACATATGTTCGTGTTGTTGTATATAAAATATACCGCTCGAAATAATTAAAAGATTGCTTTATCAAATGTCTGTGTCACATAGTAAATATGAGAAGATACAGAAAAAAAATATCTTCATTTTTAATACATATAATACACATACAACATATTTTTAGTAAAAATAATTTATATATAAATTTAGTTTTTTCTCAACTGTTTTGTTTTCATTTTTAAGCCGTGGAATTCTACAACATTCAATTCATTCAGTATAATCTCTTAATTATTTCGAGTAATATAATGCGCATAAAAATTGCACCTCCATACGCTGAGCTCGAGGTTATCTCGCTTGCATAGATTTGGTTTTCGTGATTGTTGCTCGTGATTATCAATTCACACGCGTTTTTTGCACCACGATTATATTTTCTAAGTAAAAATCTAGTAAAATTTAATTCACCAAAATATCACATACTCTAGCTTTGGTAATTACGAAACTATCACGTGTGAGAATTTCACGCAATTTTAGACTACTTTGTTCACGTTTTATTGATTATTTTTGCGATCGGTTTTTCATTAGTGATTTTGTACAAATGTTTCCGCTTTGCAATTACTTTGGAAATTTTGATTGATATTTCTTATTATTCCATATTATTAATTTTTTACATACAATTCTTTCTCGCATTACACGCGTTACATTATCACAAATTCATGGAGAATTGTAACATTCAAATTGACTTTTTACACATGTCCCACACATGTCCCATTCATGATTGTGTTTATGAAATACCAAAATTTATTATGCTTCGATAAATATCCATTGAACAAGTTTATAAATTGTTATTCTGATTTTTCGTTATATGATCGAGTTTGTTTTGTTTTGGTACGAACAAAAAGAATTCTTATTAGTATCGTCGAAATATTCATCGAAATATATATACACACACACATATATATATATAGTGATATATATATATATATATATCGTATATATATTACGTGTATATATTACGTGTGTGTATATATATATATATATATATCACTACTTCTATATATAACCTCTATATATATATATATATCACTACTTCTATATATAACCTCTATATATATATATCACTACCTCTAAATATAAATATTATGGGCGTATATATGGGCGTCGCAAGTGAAATGCAATCAACACGGAACGACGCAAGAGATAAGCAATAGGATGCAGGAGGAATCGGAACTTTCGTCAATGGACCTAGCTGGGTGTTGTCGGTGGATGAGAACGCGCAATGGTGAGCTTTCAATCCAACTCTCATGAAGAGCTTGATACTTTTGAACGTAGTGCATGCTGCAAATTCGCATTGGTTTCTAAGTTTAAAGCAGTTACACACAGCATTACCTTTTACGATTGCAAATATTCATATGATTTAATATTTTATGTCTGTAAAAGAAATTATGAAAAATTAATTAAAGAGCGTTACGAATATCAACGGCAAAGCGCCGTAATTGATATACTAGGGAAAAGACCGTTGCCAACGCAAAATCAGAAATGATGAAGCTACCTCGACCGAGATGGTCAGCCAGGCAGGCTGATAACCAAGAATTTTGGACGGTCTGAATTCGTAATTCTGTAAAGGTAACCGTAACCGCCCGTATTTAGGAAGCGACGCGAGCAGAGTTGGATTAAATTATGAGCGGGGACCCGCTGCAGCTACGATTTACGATGACCGAGTTGTTTGGCGAATGCGTAATGCGTTCGCCTGGTGATTCAATGCTCGCCGAACCGTTTGTGCATTAACGTGCGTGCATGCGGCTACGCAGCGTCGACGACGCAATGATTTTCGTCCTCAACGCGACACGTCCGCGCGCGCACGCGCGATCGTCAAATTGTAAATCTCCCTTCGACGTTCCAATTTGGTAGACTTCCGTTTCATAAAACGAACGACGGAAAGTGCGAACGGCGCACAAAAACGGCAATGTAACGTCCGAACTATTTTCTCTCTCTCTCTCTCTCTCTCTCTCTCTCTCTCTCTCTCTTTCTCTCTCTTTCTCTCACCCAAATGTTCTCGTCTCGGAATCTATTAAATCCGTATATCGGTGTGCCTGAAAATTAATTCGCATCACTTACATCACGCGACTGTCGTCATCTTGCCTGTTAACTCTCCGGACAAGAGATTTCTTAACAAATTTAATATTAATATTCTAGTAAAAATATAACGAGAGAATTAATTGTCCGGGATGGATTGCGGAGACGTTTAATCTCGAATACCGAGCTAGCTTTACGTAGCGAAAGTTTAATTGAACATTGTTGAAGAATTCGTGGTTAAAAAAGATACGATTCTATTTTGGCATATTAGCGACTACCTTCCATCGGATACTTTTACTCGGCCGCGCGTCAGGCGCGACATTGATATGAAATGAAGTAAACATGAAATTGTTGCTGTTGCGTAGAAATGCCATAAGTCAGACGTTACGAATAAATATCACCGCTTGATAGGTGCAATAGGATGCAGTGAATTACTGTTTAGCGTAGCAGACGCAAGGACAGTCTATAAGAGAAAATAGTGCTATTCGTTGTTGCAGAAATAGAGCTTTTACTATCGGCCGTGCACCAGTAAAGAAGCTCTGGGTATTTCACCGTTACTGCCTATGAAAACCTAATCCATGACGATAAAGCGCCGTCGCGCAATATGTTACTGTCACAGTGTCCAAGCTTCGATACCTATATTACAGTTGCATTTCTCGTACCGCGTGACAGTGAACGAGTGATATAAATGGCAACGTTGGAAACTAATTTCTAGACCGTGCAATTGCGCGCAATTCCATAATTTTACTGCGTACACCTATATTAATGACGCACGGGTACTTTCGTTCGTCATACATCGCTGCACTCTGAGCTGCACTCGATATAAAGTTAGTTACTTTATTCCAGTTGACACAATCATGATAATAATCATGATAATAATTCGTACAAGTGCATTAACCCCGGACGCAAAAAACTGTCTGTGTCTCATTACGTTACGTCACACGTCACAAGTTATCACGTTAAAAAATAACCAGCAAACTAATTATTTTAAACTCAACCTCGTTCTCGTTCGAAGAATCCATCTTGTCATCAAGTTGCTAATAGATCAGGAAAACGCGCTCTCTGCAGATAATACTAAAATTCAAAATTTCACCAATTCAAAATTTCATTAATTTCGAATTTCATTAATTTTTACTACCGATGCGTCAATTGGCAAATGAACAGATCACTTTCGCGCCGAGTAATTGCTTTTCCTTCGCTGCAAAATCGCTGCAAAATGCCGATCATGACAACGTCAATGTTGATGAGCGTCGAGCGACGTTGATGCAACCGTTTGTGTCATCATCTTCAATTTATGATAAGAATCGAGAATACCATTGCGATCGATAGTATTGTTTCGTACATTCGACCAGCGGGTCGAGTTCAGGACGCGCGTAACGTCGATGTACAAACTGCGAGGAACGGCCAGTCCTCGTGATCATCGGCCAGAGCATTGTTGTAAGTGGCGAAGACGCTGGGCGCGGGGAAACGAGCAAGGAAAGGCATTGTGGGCCGCGATTTATTTCCGCCTTTGTCTCTAACCAGCTCCCGAGGGACTGCGCCGAGCGATACCGGGAAATGAGAGGATTGTTTGTGCCATTGGCTCAAGGTGGTCGACTTCTCCTCGGGACTTACGTACTGTATACGTGTGTTCGCGCGTACGCGCACCACCGTCTCGAGGGGGTGGCGTCGTCTCGCCCGCCCTTCACCGTCGAAAGTAGTGGCGGATATATTTAGGCCACCGGGAGCTCCCGCTATCCTCCCGATACCGAGTCTACACGAGAATCCCGGTGCGCATCGCCTTCGTCGGCGAAGAAACCCATGCGCGCCCGGGATTACTCGGCAAGCTGGGAGATCGTGTCACCGCGGGCGAGAAGCGGTCGGTCGAATGCTCCTCGGGATCGGAACTCGCAGCGAAATCCGTAAAGTCGGCGTTTCCCTGCCGCTACGATTGGATGCAAATGCGCGAACGTGTTCGAGATTACGCCCGATCCGTGTTAGGAGACAAGTACATTCTTTGCTGCCGGAAAGCACGCGAACGATTCGGCTCTGTGTTGTACGGGGAATGCGGTGGCTGAGAAAACAAAAAATGATCGACCCTACGATCTCTTTGCTCTTTAACACGTCGCCCGATCTACCGGTCCTGGAATTCACTATTCGCCTATTTACCGTCGCGCGTAACAGTTACTCGGTGCTCAATAACTCGAAAACTTTGGCAGGAGGGGAGGGGCAGAAGACATATTCCATAACTCAGGATATAAATCACATTGTGGAGATTCATGATCCGCGGCGTGTTCAAGCGCGCCAATAACATCGCTCCGCTATTATAGCGTGGCAATTACAGAACTTACGCACCACCCTAATATATTGCGGGGTGCGACTTAAGAATTCGGGGCGTCGCACGCTCGCGAACGCGCACTCCCGCATCCCCGACATACAACCCGTTCGAGGCAAAACTATCTGCGCGGTCCACGGCGAAACTCCCACTCCCGTCCAAGCCTCTCACGCCGGAACTTTCTCAAGACTGGTAAACTACCCGAAGATAAACGAGCACCGCGTAAACTACAAGAAGAGACGCTCCACGGGGGTGCACGTACGACGCGACGCGACGCGACGCGATGCGGCGGGTGCTCGGAGTTACTATTAGGGGGAGGAAGAGGGTAGGAACGATGGGAAAAGACGTGCAAATGTGT